TCACCGTTCACTGTTTCAAGTTTGTACAATCCTTTACCGATGATCTCAGTAATTCGATATGTACCTTTCCAATTCGGTCCCAGCTTCCCTTCATTCGGGTTCCCGGTGCTTAGTGTCACCTTTATTAACACCAAGTCCCCGACATTGAAGTGTTGAAGGTTGGCTCTTCGATTTTATTATCTTTCGATCTGTTGCTTTTGGGTGGCCTACCGGACAAGGGCGGCCTCACGCCTTTCGTCTAATATTTTCGGGTTCGTATTCATGGCCTCGTCATTTGACTCTTCGGTCGCATATCGGAACCTAAGACTCAGTTCTCCTACTTCGACTGGTATAAAAGATTTGGTACCTTAGACCAACGAGAACGGGGTAGCCCCGGTATTGGATTTTGAGGTTGTACGATATGCCCATAGGACTTCGGGCAAGATTTCCTTCCATTTCCCTTTGGCATCGGTCAACCTCTTTTTAAGGTTTTGGAGTATGGTTTTGTTTGTGTACTCTTCTTGACCGTTTCCACTAGGGTGATAGGGCATTGATAGGATCCTTTTTATCTTATAGTCCTCAAAAAACTTGCTCACTTTGCTGCCGATGAACTGCTTCCCATTGTCGCACACGATCTCGGTCGGTATTCCGAATCAGCATATTATGTGGTACCATATGAAATCAATAACCTCATTCTCCCTGACTTTCTCAAATTTCTGGGCTTCCACCCACTTAGAAAAATAATAAGTCATAAATGACATAAATTGAGCCTTACTGGGCGCCCAAGGTAGGGACCAACGATGTCCATTCCCCATTTCACGAACGGCGAGGGTGACAAGACTGAATGCAGCAGTTCCTAGGCTGATGGATCATCGGAGCATGCGTCTGACATTCATTGCATTTTTGCACGAAATCCTTTGCGTCTTTTTCCATGTCAATCCAGTAGTAGCCGACTTTGATTATCTTTCGAACCAATGACTAGATACCCGAATGGTTCTCGCAGGTGCCCTTATGGACTTCCCTCAAAACATACTCGGTGTCTCCCGGTCCCAGACATATGGTGAGTGGGACATCAAATGCTCTTCTGAATAGAGTACCATCTTCGGACAAGCTGAATCAGGCAGTCTTCGTACGCAGAGCTCTCGATTCTTTAGGATCCGAGGGAAGATTTTCGGTCTTTAGGTAATATATGTATTTGTTTATCCAGTACCGGGTTAAGCTTGTCGAGATAGCCTTCCTCCACTACCAATTTCATAAGTTGTACGACTATTCCCGAGTTGAATTCATTGTCGTTGACCGACGATCCCAAGTTGTCAAGAGCTTTGGCTTCGCTGTTTTGATCCCGAGGTACATGTTGTAAAGTCTATTCCCTAAACTAATGTAACGTTACCTGTATCTGATCCAGGTATCTTCGTATTCGTTCCTCTTTGACTTTGAACGTTCCATTGACTTGGTTCACCATGAGGAGAGAATCACACTTAACTTTGACCACCTCGGCCCCCAGGCTTTTAGCCAGTTCAAGACCTACAATCATGGCCTCATACTTGGCCTCGTTGTTAGTCAATTTTACAATTCTAATAGATTACCTAACTATATTACCCGTCGGTGGCTTCAACACGATGCCAAGTCCGAACCCCTTTGCATTCGAGGCACTATCGGTAATGAGGGTCCTGATTTCGAAAGAGGTCCTCGAGTTCAACAACAACTCCTTCTCAACCTCAGTAATTAGGGCCGGCGTGAAGTCGGTCATGAAGTCCCCCAAAATTTGAGATTTGATGGCGGTTCGGGGTCGATATTCGATGTCGTACCCGCTAATCTCCATGACCAATTTGGACAATCGTCCCGAGAGCTCGGGCTTATGCATTATGTTTCATAATGGGTAAGTAGTTACAACACATATGGATGGCATTGGAAATATGGTTTTAGCTTCCTAAAGGCGCTTAGTAAAGCGAGCACCGATTTTTCTAGGTGAGGATACCTAGTTTCGGCCTCGCCTAGAGTTCTGCTAACAAAATAGATAGGAAATTCCATACCTTCCTCTTCCCGGACTAGGACTCCACTTACCGCTACCTCGGATACCACTAAGTACAGGTATAACTATTCGTCTGCCTTCGGAGTATGAAACAAAGGTGGGCTCGAGAGGTACCTTTTGAGTTCCTCCAAGGCTTGTTGGCACTACGGGGTCCATGAGAAGTTATTCTTCTTCTTCAACAGTGAAAAGAACCGATGGCTCTTGTCGGAGGACCTCGAGATGAATCGACCCAAAATGGCTATGCACCCGGTTAACCTTTGAATGACGTTGACAATATCCACAACGATGATGTCCTCGATGGCCTAGATCTTATCGAGATTGATCTTGATTCCCTGGTTAGACACCATGAATCCGAGGAATTTCCCAGACCCGACTCCAAATGCGCATTTCTCCGGGTTCAGTTTCATATTATTTTTCTTCAATATGTTGAAGGTTTCCTACAAATGTTTCAAATGGTCCTCTGCTTGCAGGGATTTAACTAACATATCGTCAATGTAAACCTCCATTGATTTTCCTATTTGCTCTTCGCACATCTGATTTACTAGGCGTTGGTAAGTGGCATTAGCGTTTTTTAATTCCGAATGGCATTACGTTATAACAGTAGGTACCATATTTAGTGATGAAGGATGTTTTTTCCTGGTCGTCTGGGTCCATCCGAATTTGGTTGTACCCGGAGTAGGCATCGAGAAAACTGAGGGTCTCATGGTCGGCCGTTGCATCGTTTATGCGATCGATGTTTGGCAGGTGGAAAGAGTCCTTGGGGCATGCCTTGTTCAAGACTTTATAGTCTATATACATTCTTCATTTATTCCCCTGTTTAGGTACTACTACTAAGTTTGCTAACCAATACTGGTACTTAACCTCCTGGATGGACCCTATTTTAAGGAGTTTAGATACCTCGTCCTTGATGAATGCATGCTTGACTTCGGATTGCGGCCTCCTTTTCTGCTTGACGGGATGGTACTTCGGATCCAGGCTTAGCTTGTGAGTTGTTATCTTCGGCGGAATCCCTGTCATATCGAGATGGAAACAAGTGAAACAATTTATGTTAGCTAAAAGAAATTGAATGAGGTTTTTCCTGAGCTTGGGAATTAACCACGTGCCTAGGTGTACCTTACGATCAGGTAGGTGTTCGATCAATATGACCTGCTCCAGTTCTTCGACTGTTGACTTGTTGGTGTCGGAATCATCGGAAACTTCGTAGTCGTTGTCCTTATCCATCCCCTGCGTCTCTGGTTAGATCGAGACTGGTATCGGTAATTGCTATTTGGTTTCGTCTTTGGCCACCGGACCTAGACCCTTCGATGTTGAAAGTGCAGATATCGGAATCATCTCATCGACCGCAAACATCTCCTTTGCTGCCAGTTATTCTCTGTAAACTATTTTAATCCATCCTGGCATCGGAAATTTCAGCACCTGGAGCAGCGTGGAGGCTACTACCCTCATGTTGTGAATCCATGGTCTCCTCAACAGAGCATTGTACCTCATGTCTCCTTTGATCATGCAGAAATTTGTTTCCTGAATGGTTCCGACGGTGTTCACTGGTAATGTTATCTCCTCTTTGGCGGTCTCACATGCCATGTTGAATCCGTTTAGATCCCTGACTACAGGCACGATTTGGTCTTGTAGACCTAGTTGTTCCACAACCCTCGATCTAATGATATTGGCTGAGCTACTTGGATCAATTAACACACGCTTAAGTCGAGATTTATTTATGAGTACAGATATTACCAATGCATCGTTGTGGGGCTACACGATGCCTTCAGCATCCTCGTCGTTGAAAAACAAGGTTTCTTCTGGTACGTAATCTCGAGTCCATTTTCCCCTCGTGATGGATACTTTGGTGCGCTTTAACAACGCCCCCCCGGGGAATGTCGACCCCACCAATGATCATGTTAATGATGTGTTGAGGTACCTCCTGCTTGATCTGCTTACTATAATCTCTATTTTTGAAATGGTTTTTGGCTCGATCGCTCAAGAACTCCCGGAGATGTTCGCTGTTGAATAACCAGGCTACTTCCTCTCTCAATTGTCGGCAATCTTCTATTCTGTGGCCATGTGTGCCATGATATTTACATATTAAGTTGGGATCCCTTTGGGCTGGATCGGGCTGTAGAGGTCGAGGCCACTTGGTGTCTTTGATGTGTCCAATGGCAGATAAGATAGCAGCAATATCGATGTTGAAGTTGTACTCCGATAACCTCGGTGCTTCCTTAGGCCCGATAGGCCTGTCGAAACCATTTTGGCTCACGAGTCCCCGGTTATTTTGACCCCGATCGCTTCTCCTTTCACTTCTCATAGAGTTTCGTCCAGACCCGTTACCCCTACGATCACCGTTGTACGGTTGATACCAATCCCTACTCGACCTTGGTTCACGATCAATGTCTCTTTTGGATCTGTCACTAGCTCGGACGGGATAAACAAACCTGGAAGGGGCCCCAAGCTGATCATCTTCGATCTTAATTTTTGATTGGTATCGATTATGCACATCGGCCAAAGTTACATCCGGATATTCTACCAGATTTTGCTTTAACTGCCGTGAAGCCAATAAGCTTTGAGTATTGAGTCTTTGGGTGAAAGCCTGAACGACACAATCGTCTGCCACCGGCGGCAGGTCCATTCGTTCCATTTGAAACCTTCACACGAACTCCCTAAGCATCTCGTTATCTCTTTGCTTTACCTTGAAAAGGTCTGGCTTCCTGGTCTCGACCTTGATGGCTCCGGCGTGCGCTTTTACAAAAGCATATGCAAGCATAGAAAATGAGTCAATAGAATTGGGGGGTAAGTTGTGATACCATCACTACAAGAAACATGGCTTTTAACGACCACTTTTTAACGAAGGGACGTTGATCCACGGTCGTTATAAGTACACTTTTAAAGACCAAAAATATTTTCGGTCGTTAATAACTCTTATTAAATTATACAATTATAAAAGCTCATTAATATTAAGATATCCGGTCGTTAATAGATATTAGAAATTTGGCGGACATATCCAAAATAAAAGAGCGCCAGCACTCTCCACTAAATTTTCAGTTCTTTTCTTTCACTATATTCAAAGAACCCTAAGCCCCAAATTGAAAAATAAGGATGGCACAGACTCTCCGCTACCACCGCGTTGCTGTCCTCCCTCTCTAATTGGTGCGCTATCTTTCTCATTGTGTAATTTGCTTAATTGAAGTTCAATTTAACTTTGATTTCAACTCAGTTGATTCCTAAGATTTTCACTATTATAAATTATTTTTTGTTCAATTTAGGATTCGTGATAGAAGAAATATATATTTTTTATTTAAGATATGGAACCTCCAATTACATTTCGTTTCTTTCGAGGCAACCTAAGAAAAATGACAACAAAAATAAAATTTGAGTCCTTGATTTCATATTTGCAAAACGAAAATCGAAGGAATACAAGTAGACATTATAATCGTTCTTTTCAATGTCGATGATAGCAGCGAGCGGAGCTTACCAGTCTGTCACTTTTCTACTTCGCTTTGTCTCTGTATAAAGTTAGAGAGGAAACCGCCGGCTGTCATCTCCGCACAACTGTTTTTTCTCTCTTTTAGATTTGTATGTCTCTCTGTTATGTGAAAAATCCCAGAAAGTTGTGAGATGCTTGTGGGTTTTTGTTTTGTGATCTATAGGAGGTAAAAGATATTACAATTCTTGATGGAAAAGGTATTTTATTATTTTTTAGTTGTAGATAACTAGATGTAGAAAATCATGGATTATTTGTTTTAAGTTATATATGTTGATATTCTAAGAGTTCCATACGACTTTTGAATCTCGACTGATTGTGGTAAATTTTCAGTTTTTGCTTCTCTATCTCGGTGCGCATTTGTTTATGTATCTTTTAAACATTTATGTCTTGACTTTTTGAGTTTTCAATTACTAAAAATCTTTACGTAAATGTTTTCGTTGTAGGACAATTTTCTGGATGAATGAACTTCCCGTGAAATTAAATCAAATTATTTTATTTCTCTTTCAAAGAGAACAAGTAAGTGTGATCTAGTTAGTGTTTTCACTTTCTTTTAGAGATAAAGAGAGCATGTGACTCAATTTTTATTATTTCCCAATAATAGTTAGTAGTATTAGTTTTATCTATTTATTTTTTCTGGGTGGCATAGGATTCAGTTGCTCATACAACTGGGAATGTAACTGTTAGTAAGTCTAAACTTGCAATTTTTTTCATTTAAATCATCAAGAGTAGTTAACCGGCTTTTAGTATTTATTTGTCACTTGTGCCAATCATGTTGTGCATTTTCAGCTGCTACTTAGCTCAATTTAAACATTGTTGGTGGGGCAATTATATAATTACATTACCTTTAATCAAGCTATTATTTGAGTGATATTTGATTATTCATGCTGGTACTTTGGATTTATTTGCTGTTAGATTCTGAAATGATATTGATTGTTACTATAGGTTTTATGGGAGCTGCGATATCAAATCCTACATTTGAAGTTCCGAAATATATTATCAAACAAAGGAATAAAAAGAAAGTCTGTTAGTGGGATAAGGTATTATGCAGGTTTGTCCATTATATCTTTGTTAATGCTTACACCTTTTGCAGTTGCAATGGAGGGTCTCTAGAGGTGGGCAGTAGGATGGCAAAAAACTCTCTCTCACATAGGACCCACTTTTGTTTGGTTAGGATCGACAACTTCCATTTCTTATCATGCGATGCTCGCGGTATTCACTAATGCATAGTTGTAATAGTATTAGATATCAATTATTAAATATTTATCCTGGTGAGGTAGTTTACATCGTCCTCCATATTACTTGAATCGTGGTTGTTTTGTTTGACTATTTTAGAATGTTGATAAAAACTTAAGGTGCTTTAGATTAATCATGTTTTCTCTAGGCTCCCATAGGCATCAGTTAGGTATAAGATGATTATGGATGTTATGTTTGTGTCTATATTAATGGTGCTGCCTTAGTTCTAGCTCTCCCTTGCATACTTTTGAATCATTTAATAAATTATGTGATAGCTCTTGTTATGTCATTGCTGACATATTTTGTTACTCGTATGTTTATGTTAAAAGTTCTTTGATGAATCATTTATATGAGTATCCTAATAACAATTTTGTCTTTGGCTTTGATATTCAGTATCAACGCAAGACATATTCTATCACCTTTATAACCAATTGTTTATATGTCATTGGATGAGATTTCTCACCTGACGTTTAGCATAGAAATGCAGTGAAGCGAATATCTGTCGGTGTTGCCTCCATCATAATCTTCCAAATACATGTTCGACTCATCAATGCACTTGAAGCTGCCATTGTAATCATAGGAACCTTCTTTTATTCACAAGTGAGTTTCTTTTTCGCTGCCCATTACTTGAAAAGTTTGTTACACTAAAGCACAAATGTTGAAAGTGAAGAAGAAAGTGGAGTTCTATTAGGAATAGAGTGTTAATCCTTGAAGGTACATGGCTTCCTCATTTGGTTTATCCAGCTTGCTATTTAAAGAATCATCGAAGTTAATTTATCCGATCATAGTTCCAATATATGTTTTGTGGTATCTTTCACATAGCTTCTAAATTTATCAATTTTCTTTTTGGAGGCTTAAATTGAGGAATGTTTGAATAAGCAAGGAAGTGTAACAATTTAGTGCAAGTTGAGTCATGTTTTACTTTTGAAATTGAATGGAAATTGCTCATACAGATCATAGTAGTAGAGGTGTAACAAGTCTATTGTTAAGGTGCACCAGTTATAAAGAGAACTCTGTTCGATTTTTTAGTCTATCTATTTGAGGAAATCATATGAAAAACGACGTAACCGATTCTTTCGTTTCTTTGGGCCACTGGCCATCTGCCAGGAGTTTCAGGTTTAAAGTGTTAGTAGGAGTATTTTTACTAATGTGACATGACTTGTTCTTTTAACAGATCAAGATCAAGAACTTGGAGTTTGAAGAACCTATCCTTGAAGAATGTGCGGAGCAAGTTGAAGCATTATAGAATTTTTGTTCTGTTAGCAGTGGTTTAAAGATGTTGTCATTTGTACATCGTGCTATAGTTCTATTGTCTACTTTTAGGAGTTGATAAAAATAGTGTCATGCAATTTGGATGGGTATATTTATAGACACTGATCTTTCCGTTCTTTGTAATGATAATAAAATTTTATAGAGTATGAATTTTGATTATTTGGTATATTTTTAGATGTGTGGTTGTTGTATATATGTGTGTGAGAAAGCAATAATAATTATTGTTGGATAACTACAGGGAAAAATATAAATTGGTGTAATTATATTTATTAAAATTTCACATCAGCGAAGGGAAATGTGGTCTTTAAAACTCTTTAACAACAGGACTATCAAATGGTTACATGTGCATTAACGAAAGAAAATTTTGCAATTTGCGAAGGGAACATCGGTCGCTAAATAGGAATAACGACGGAAAGTTTTTTGGTCGTTAACGGAATTTAACGACTAGATTCTAATCCGGTCGTTAACTTTTAATGACGGAGCCTTTAGCGACCGGTGACGACCGGATTTTGTTCGGTCGTTATTGACTTATAGTGACTGGATTTGAATTTTTAACGACTGGATTTTCCTTCGCTAAAAGCATTTTTTCTTGTAGTGCATATCATAGCTCCTTTTGACAAGGTCTCTCCAAACCATTTCAGCAGGACATATTCGATCTCATCATCTTCCAAGTCGTTCCCCTTGATGGCACATGTGTATGAGGTCACATGTTTATTTGCATCGGTTGTTCTGTTGTACTTAAGAATTTTAGGCATGCAGAACTTTTTGGGATCGGCTTCCAGGCCGCGCTCGGAGGAAAAGGTTTTTGAACAAACCTTTTGGAGTCTAGGCCTTTCAATATCGGTGGTGCTCAGGGGATTTGGTCAACCCTAGAGTTGTAGGTCTCCACCTTCTTGTCGTTGGCTTCGATTTTCTTTTCTCCTGTTTCTACTCATTTTGTCAATTCCTCGAGCATCTTTATTATCTCAGGGTTGGTCTCGGGTTCAGCTTCAATTGGCCTATCTGCAGCTAGTTCATTTCTGAGAGTGTTTTCCCATGATGATTCGGGCTCAACTCTACTGGGAGCGCGACTTTGGTTCTGAAGTTAGGCTATCGCTGCCTATCAAGCCTGTATCGTTTCGAAGATCACCCATAAGTTGATCCCATCTCCTTCATCATCACACCTATTTTGGGGTACCGATTGGACTCCCCCGCGGATGTTGTTCTCAGGATTAGTAGGCAAATTCGTGTTGATGGCCGCTTATGAGTTGGCATCGATTAGGTGCGCGGCCGGAATTCTGTTGGGATCGGCAGAGGGCACCTCATTACCAAGAATCGCATTGTTGTTCTCACCATGGTGTCCAGAATCAACATCCTTGTTTAGAGGGGCAGATCGGGAGTTCGACATTTTAAACTTTGACCTGAAACAAAAGAATCTTCAAAGAACAAGTGTGAAGTAGGGTGTGTTATGGAAATTTATATCCAATTGCCACTATTATTCTTAACCCCATGGCCCTCAAAATTGGATAACAATTAAATTTATAAGTGGTTATAAAGATATGCAGATTAATTTGATACAAAATGAAGAATTGAATAAGAATGGACAAGTAAAGATATAGTAAATTCAAACCACGCGAGGAGGATGACCCCCTCCTTAGCGAAACGTTCACCCATGATCCGGGCTCACAATGGACAATATTGATGAACGAGAGAAAAAGCTTATAATAACAGTGAAAATAGTTGTATATTGCTTTGGAATGCGTGTTAACATGTGCCTAATTAATTATCAGACCCCCTTTATATAGTAGGGGGATCCTACTCTAAGTACAACTCTATAAAAAGTAAAAAAAATTTCGTTTAACAGATTGTCAAATCTACATCGATACGTGCCAATATCCACGCCGTAATATCCGGCCGGTGGCGGATATTACAGCCTTCTGTTGGTCGTGCTTTATTTCCCAACAATGTTCTCCGAAATTTTTCAGGATTTGGATCGATCTCGAATCATGACCCCGATATTTTCGAGGGCAGACAACGTGCCCCCGGACTCTGACTCGATGAGACTTTCGCTTCGATTCTGATCCTTCACAATCATATCTTGAGCTCGTTTTACCCTGTTGGAGGCCGGAGTGTATCATGAGCTCGATTTTTACCCGTATACAGGTTTCAACGTGATAATTCAGTAATATAATTAGCGAGTTCGAAACTATGGAATTATGTATAGTATTATTCCTTCGGGCTCAAGTGCAGATACGTATTGTTTTATGAATATTATTTTGGGACCCGAATTTTAATATATTGGAGTTGTATATTAAACATTGAGTTTAGATTAAGATATTGGGTATGTCTTCATCTTTAAAAAATATGGTAATTGGTAGGTGGAATATTGAGACTTAACTCTAACCTTGAAAGTTAAGGAGATCGAAATTTGATCCCGACTAATATAATTTATATTTTTAATTAATATCTTGCATAGATTGAGGCCATTGGAGGCTGTTTGATTGGTGTTCTAGGCGTGGCAAGGTTGAGGAACGTCCCGTTAGCGAGGTAAGTAAAACTTTAAGCTTTGATACTTTCTTTTCCAAAATCCGTTTTGAAAGTATATTTTGTCTGCCTAGTCCATGTGTTGGTTCGAACATGCGCTTGGCAGAATCGATGGTCTTTGACCAGCCGCAAATATATATTATTTTGTAAAAATTAAAATTATTAAATAAGTACTTTGTGGTGTGGTGGGGTGTGACATAGCCACGTGCTATAGCATTGGGGCGTTAGAAATTATTTCTTCGCCGCCGTGATATAATTGGGGCATTGTGTATGCCACCGTGATAGATCTGGGGCATTGTGTATGATAGTCGTAGACTCGTTGGAGTGTTTGGTTAATTTCCTGCACTGCCGTTTATGACAAGTCCTTAGTGTGGATTGTGCTGAAATATAGAGTGTTGTTGTTGAATAATTATTTGGACCTTATAGAGTAATTATATGGAGAAAGAATATCTGTGCATATTATTTCTGTGCTCGTTGTGTGTTTGTATTTTCTAATACTTGTTCCAGAGGTATTCAGATTGGCGGGTCGAGGATCTTACTGGCTATATATTTACGAATAACTCACTCCTTACCTACATGTCAATGCATATACTATTGGTGAAGACGGAGCTAATAGCTGACGAGTTCGCTAGATTTGATTCAGTTATTGAGGTGAGCCGCCACATTGTTCGTGGAGGCTGCCAAAAGAGTCTTTATTTTTTTTATTTTTTTATTTTTATTGCAAATATTCCACCAGGCATGCTGCCTAGTAGTTTTTTTATTAATAATAAAAATATAAACCACAAAGGAAGAGTACAAGTAAAAGGGACAAAAGCTACAGTATATTTGCCGCTACGCCTTAGCTATATAATCATCTTTGTGCGCCTCCAATGCCCTTTGACGCCGCCTCAATAGGCTGCTGGCGTAGTCTCACGAGGGCGAATGATCTCATAGCTTTAAGGATATTTTCCAACGGCGTAAGCCAAGAAAGCACATACTGCGCTAAACCTTACCTCACAATTCCTACTGAGGCAGTAATAGCCTCACTTGCTAACCAGAATGTAAAAAATAAGAAGTTGCACGAACTAAATATTCTATGATCATCATAGAGTTTATAACATATTCTATGATGATATTACATATAGTGATGCTAATAAAATGGTAGAATAAAATAAAGAAAACATTAGAGTCGTGCCCCATTTGTTTCAAAATTGTGAATTCTTCAATCTGTTGGTCCTTTTCTTCTTCTTCAACACTCTTCAAAATGTCTTCAAAATTCATCATATCTTCTTAGATAGATTGGACCGTGTGGATGTGGTAGGGGCATTCCCCTTTTGCTTTGCAACTCGCATTGGGAGTTGCCTAATGATACCTCATTCTTTCATGTCTGGTTTAACAATTGACGCTTGAGATTGAATGTGTATGTTGTTGTTCATACCTGCAGATTGCAGCCCTTGTGCACCTGCTGAATTAAGTTCATCATCATCCTCTTCATCCTCTACTTGGTCAGCCTACACTTTTCTTTGTAACATCATTCTATTTAAGAGTTCTCTTTGATGCGTCAAACACTGTCCAACCATCCCCATTGTACTCCTCCTTAAACTATCTTCATTTGATGACGTTGATGCATATCCATGTTCCTTCAAACTAATAGTTCCAGCTTTCAAGCATGCTGTTTGTGTACCAGCTTCCATAGTTGTATTCAAAGAATTATTTGTTTTCAATTCCCCATATGCTTCCTTCTCAATTCCCCATGTCTTGCCTCCTCTAGACGTTTCATACTCCACTTCCATAACATCTACATAATCACTAGTTCTTCCATCCGTAAGAGGTTAACTATATTGTCGATGCACAGCCGAGTAATGAAATGGCATAGCTGAAGGAGTCTGTGCAGGTGCATAGAAATGTGCACCTACTTACGAAGGTGTTTCACTGGTTTTGCCTGATTTTTGAACTCCATGACCAGGTATTTCCTCAATTATGTTACTGCTGGACACTGATACTAGTTGCTGGGCCAAAGCACTGGAGGAATTTGCCTCTGCATACTTCTTCTTATGCTGCTGTCTTGCACTGTCTGGAGTGCTATTTTTTCCACTGATTGACATCGCATCAGCAGTCAATTGTTGCACATCCTTCCCTTGTTCCATCATAGAATGATTATGCTCATTAACAAGAACATCTGGTACTTTACTTCCCTGACCAGTTTTGCCATCAATAGTTACGGTCGCAAGTCGAGAATGTATGCCATTTGTAACATTTTGATCCTTTTCAACAACTGTTGTAAATCCTCTTCAGTAGGTAGCTGCTGTAAATCCTTTTCAGGGTCTAGTGTGGGATTTTGGCTAGAGTTTTAATTTAATATTTTGAGATATTAATTATTAGTAATTAGTTATCAGATTATTTTGATACTCATTTAATTAATCAAATGCTGCAAATGAATGGCTAAGTTATAAAGTATGGTTCGCCTGGCGGGTGGTATTAATTAGGTTCCAGTCATGTCTAGGGGGTAGTTTGGGAAGTGACAACGTAGATGCGCTATTTGGGCCGCAAAAGTGGAGGCCGCTGGCTTGAGTTGGAGCAGCACCTGCGATGGATTTTCTGTAACAACCCGACTGGTCGTTTTGAAATCTAGCACGTCGTTTGGGAATTTGAGGCCTTAACTAGTT